GATGTATGATGAAAAACCAGCATCAAATATCCTCAGATGCCATGAGGAATGATCTTGTAGGGAACGTAGTTTAATCTGCACAATGATTCCGAATTAGGGGGAACATCGTTTCGGCCGGAGGGGAGCCATTTCTAGTGGTTGTGAATAGCTTCAAAATGTCCGACCTTCAAGACAGATTCCACTTTGATAGGGTTCGAGGTTATTGATCGCCCTGGCGAACTTCTTCGTCTGGTAACCCAACGTTCCTCCTTCGCTTCTTCCTCATTTCCACTACAGCTACGGTCTTATCGGCCCGAACGGTTGCGGAAAGTCCACTCTACTCGCGGTTATGGCCAACCGCGAGCTACCCATACCGAACCACATAGATATTTTTCTACTTCAACGAGAAATGGCACCGAGTGATAAAACAGCACTCCAGTGCGTGATGGAAGTGGATGAAGAACGACAGCGGTTAGAGCGCGAAGCCGGAGAGCTAGCCGCACGTGAAGACACGGGTAAGTCGTCATAATTACTGTCATAATGACTCCATATTTTGTTCCGGGTTTATTCACTTACTCGAAGTAAGTGGGGCGAGATGGCTCAAGTGGTTAGAGCGCGAATTTACTGACCGGAAGGTCCGTGGTTCGAACCGGACCTCTGCCTCTCGACTTCCCCTGTCTAGGCCTGGGAAACCTGGCAGTATCCCAGCCCTCGTGTTTCCTTCGGGTGGCGCGGCAGCTAGTCAACTGAAGGATGTTACAGTTGGACGATTTTTTTGCACCCCCGACAGCAGTTATGAGTACGCAACTCATCGTTCCATAGACTGTCTAATCATAGTCTTTATGCCGATCGCGCCATACAAACCTAGCTTTAATGTAAGATTTTCCATTGTGTTGATATGAGCTGTGGTTCAATCCGGTCTGGTCGACTTTACTGAATCTTCCAGTTACCTTTCTCCATCACCTGTGTATTTCATGTGGTCAGTCGTAAGGCTGAACGATATTCCGCTGCTTCTAAAGGACAAACGAAAGCCTTATCCGTTTTCTGCACACCGGGCGCCCAATTTGCCAACAATGAGTTGGATGAAAATATGACATTGGTAGCTCAGGCTTTTCGGTTATTTGTAGAGTTGTTTTCTGTTGGACTCAGTAAACAACTCAACCATCAGTGTTGAATAGATCATTCTGCATTCGGTTCGGAGGGTCATTATGAACGAATACCTACACGGGAGGAAATCGGCACAGCTGTCTCGCACACAATGCATTCCATTGTAGGGATCTGACCGCAAATCCTCCTCAGCCCCCGAAACCAATCGAAACCAGCGCCGTTGATTCAGTAGGACTTTTTCATCGACTTCGATGGGGGAATTCCTTTTCTATATGTCATTTTCAGTGTGTTCCTTGTGCAATTACTTACTGCCTGTGATGCTCCGAAGCGTTTTGCGACGGGTCACAGAACTGACATAGTCTTCCGAATGTGACCATTTACCGAGACCATCTTGTGTTACCTTATTGTGCCGAGTAATCCAATATGGTCGGTTGGGATCAGAAAAAGAGAACCTAGAATTGCTAGCAAGACTAAATGATTGCATATATTATTGGCTTCACCTACAGTCACTTACCCACCCGACGAATTAAGTAAAATAATTTCCCTATTGATGCAGAGAAGCCGTAGTACTCAGATGCACCGTGTTTTCACGGAAATTACCTTTTGTATGGTGAGTAAGCTGATGACACCCCATAGATTGCGATGGCTTCGTCACACGCTCCGCCTGCCAGTAACCCGATTTATCTGAGTAGCCTCGTGCTTCTGGACAAAACGAGCTAAGGGGCCAGTCGAAGGTCTGCGTTGGTGATTGCCTTGGGCAGACGAAACTATACCAACTCGAACTGCCATCCACCGACCATGTAACGTAAAGCTGATGGTAGTTGTTATTCCTTGAGCTCAGTCTGTTTACCCTTCTGGATCGCTTGCGCCTTGAAAGTACCAACCAAAGTGTAATTTTTCAACGCAAATGTGTGCGACTTTCCAAGTGCTTCATCCGGATCCAGCCGTCCATCTCGGTTGTAAGTTCAGTCGACGCATGCTGGTGAAGTGCTTAGTATCACAAATTACCGACCCGTTTGGGATAACAGTCATCGATGAGGCCACACTGAGGTGCTTAGATGTGAGGTGCACTAAACTAGATCCGTATGTTCTATATAGTCCCTACTATAAAGCAGGTGAGTGGCCAGATGGTTCAGTGGTTAGAGCGTGAGTTTGCAGACCAGAAGGTCCGTGGTTCGAAGCCGACCTCTGCATCTCGACTTCTTCTGTCTAGGCTTGGGCCATCTGGCAGTATCCCAGCCCTCGTGCTTCCTTCGGGTTCTGTGGCAGTTGGTCACCAAAGGGGTGCTACAACCCCAAGAGCAACTCCAATTGTCTGGTGTAAAGTTCCTTGCATTATGATCTTCAAACATGTAATCGTGAGCTTTGAACTTGCCTGTGTGTCCCTAGTGTTACATGTTGTCAAATCCATGAAGACACGTACACCAAGGTAGACGTTAGGGAAGTATCCCGCTTCACTATCGGTGTTCCCTAGGGTGAGCTTACAGTAATCAGTGAGGCTTATCACCACAACTACTATTTTACCCGTGTTTTGAAATGGTTTTCAGTCCCAATGTGACTTATTTTTGTGTCCATCTTGTGGCACTTAAATTTCTTTAGACAGCTGATTTGGCTTTGAGTAGATTCCTCAGATGCCATGAGGAACAATCTCGTAGGGAAGATAGTTTACTCTGTACAGTGGTTCCGGATTAGAGGGAACATCGTTTCGGCCGTAGGGGAGCCATTTCTAGTGGTTGTGAATGGCTTCAAAATGTCCGACCTTCAAGACAGATTCCTTGTTTGAAAGGGTTCGAGGTTACTGATCACCCTGGCGAACTTCTTCGTCTGGTAACCCAACTTTGATAGGGTTCGAGGTTATTGATCGCCCTGGCGAACTTCTTCGTCTGGTAACCCAACGTTCCTCCTTCGCTTCTTCCTCATTTCCACTACAGCTACGGTCTTATCGGCCCGAACGGTTGCGGAAAGTCCACTCTACTCGCGGTTATGGCCAACCGCGAGCTACCCATACCGAACCACATAGATATTTTTCTACTTCAACGAGAAATGGCACCGAGTGATAAAACAGCACTCCAGTGCGTGATGGAAGTGGATGAAGAACGACAGCGGTTAGAGCGCGAAGCCGGAGAGCTAGCCGCACGTGAAGACACGGGTAAGTCGTCATAATGACTGTTAGGCAATTACTTTCATCCACTCCTAAACAGCTACCTTGTTTCGACTCCATATTTTGTTCCGGATTTATTCACTTACTCGAAGTAAGTGGGGCGAGATGGCTCAAGTGGTTAGAGCGCGAATTTACTGACCGGAAGGTCTGTGGTTCGAACCCGACCTCTGCATCTCGACTTCCCCAGGTTTGGGAAACCTGGCAGTATCCCAGCCCTCGTGCTTCTCTCAGGTAGCATGGCAGCTAGGCACCGGAAGGGTCTTACAGCTGAACGATTTTTTCTATTTCATCGTGAAGCCCCTCTTTTCTACTGTCCTGTTCATAGCCACGGACTTCGGTCCACTGGTAATTGTCTTAACGTTATTTTGATCGTGAATTGTGATAAATAGTAGCTATTACCTCAAAATGTTGCTAACTCAGCTACACTGAAGAAATTGTGAGAAATTGTTTAGCTGTAGCACCCTTTCGGTGCTTAATTGCCATGCCACGCGAAGGTTGCAAGAGGGCTGCGATACTGCCAGGTTGCACAAGACTAGACAGGGGAAATCGAGATACAAAGACAGGGTTCAAAATACAAACTTTCCAGCCATTCAATTCACGCTCTAACCACTGATACATTTTGCTTGGCTAATCATCCCCTCATTTAGTGGATCTGGTGTTATGACTTGACTTGCATTGTTTGTCTTTGCTCGTCCTCAGTGAAGGACACTCAAGGATGGAGTAGTTGCTTCGTCGTCCACCACGTGTACGTTGACTCCGGTTGATGTAATTTTGGCCACTAATAAACAGGAGAACAACGATTGGAGAATACAATGTGGTGAGGATGACCGCCTTACCACCTGGTGATAGTCAGCATAAGTGATTGGGAAACCGGGATAGCTATTTACATTACTGAAAGGTATATTGGCAAATAAACAAATCGTTCAGTTGTAACACCCTTTCGGTGCCTAACTGCCATGCACGGGAGCTGAGATACTGCCAGGTTGCCCAAGCCTAGACAGAGGAACACGAGATGCAGAGGTGGGGTTCGAACCACGGACCTTCCGGCCAGTAGACTCTCCCTATAACCACTTGGGCCATCTCTCTCGCTATAACCACTTGGGCCATCTCGCCCCAGGTATCCTCAGCCGTTGACGTCCTCAACCAGTCAGATGGCTGCTTCAAACGGGACAACTTCATCGATGGGTTTCATGCTAAGCTGGGAGCAATCTGAAGAATTGTTCTAATCAGTGGTTAGTTAAAGCGGTTACCTGACGTCTCTTAAGGTAGGACGACAAAAAACTGTCGAAAATGGCAGCCAGACAATGTTTCTGTACCTTTAGTAATTGCATCATGAGGCGGCCCCGGGGTAAATCCGTATTTTCCCGGGTTGCGAAACCAGTTCCTCCAGGCACATCAGTGTATGTGGAGTCAGGGGTGCTTCCTTCTTCCGAGTAAGGAGGAACTTGAAAAGATAGACCCCAAAAACCTCACAATGCGACCACCCAACCCTTGGCCGTGACTGTCACTGCGTTATCTGAGGTCATTGAAGTATAAAACACTAAGTCTTATCGAAAGCCGTATTAGCGCGCGTCTGATACGCATGCAATACCAGGAGTCCGACGCCTATGCTTTATTCCTTGAACCTTTTGGGCAAACCAACCCTTCTTACAGGCTATCAGGTCTTTGGTTCAAGGCAGTCCTCATGGAAAACCTACCGAGCGCTGCTTTGTGGCTCAAACTCCCGACTCAGAGGATTGGAAGGCCCTAGCCTCTAATTTCATTGTTTGTCAGACTTCTGAGTCAAAAGGTCAGGTTGGATCACCTCATCTGACCTGGACAACTGCTAAGTGTCATTCGCACGTGCAGCGATTCCACAGGTTCCGCCAAACCGCTGCCATGTGCGTACACTTACCCAGTCGAAGAACTGAATATAGCCCTGGTACACTAAAGCGATCTTTCTTACACTGTGGCTTTCAATGTCCGTTCCCTCTGTCAAATTAAGCAACAAGCATCCCTTACTCTGGCCTTGCTCTCGCCTTCTGTCCTCGAAGTGTATTGTTCCTGATTATTGCCTCCGGCAACGGACTGATGATATCTCTTCGTAGCATGATGACGAATCTTATGTAAGTTAGTCGCCATGGTCGGCGAACAGGTGAACAAATAATGAGTCAACCTAAAATAACTTCAAAGTAAATCAGCTGATCATACTTCGTGTGTCACGTGCACTCCATAGTCTAATGACTCTTATTCATCAAAAAGCCATTTTCAGCCCCCCGCGTGTTGTCGAAGCAGCCCGAGACTGGTCCGTCCGTGATTAGGACAACGAAGTGCTGAAGACCCTGCTATTCGACTCAGTCGCGTTGGAAACTGCCAGATGGAGGAGATTCATGGATGAGAAATATCAATAGTAAAGGTGTTTCATAGATGTTGCTCAGTCACGCAGCCAACGATGACCTTTCACCAAGGATACTACCTTTAATGCGTAGATCTCCCACCAACACCAGCAAGTTGATTAGGCTATCATCTTAACTGTCATCCTCTCTCCCGGTCGTCGGTGCACCCGCTCAAAGCATGTTAGTTCATGATTCCTAGCTGAACCCAACTGTTAATCAGGAAGAGTAAGCACAAAACCCCGGTTTTTACGAACACCTAAACGGCGCTTTTGTTCGTGTTCCTCTTTTATACAGAGAGTAGTGAGCGTTTGGTCGAAGTATACGAGCGTTTGGAACATTTGGATGCAGACAAAGCAGAAGCCAAGGCTGCTATGCTCCTTCATGGTCTAGGATTCACAAAGGAGATGCAACAGAAGCAGGTAGGTTTTTCTGTCCTTCATCTTGCTTGATTCATTTCTCCACGAGTCGTTCCCATCTTTTCCCCACACACCCCCCCTGATTCAGCTCCTCTTTTCGCTTGGTATCGTCATCACTCGGCCCATTGTTTTTCCGGAAACGGTTCGAGAGCTTAGCTCAGTAGTTAAGGAATGGACTTCCTGGTCGGAAGGCCCGTGGTTCGAACCCAGCTTGTGAGTCAGGATGTCTCTTGTCTAGATTTGGGTAACCTGACAGTGTCTCATCCTGGGTGCTTCCATCAGATAGCTAGGGAACTAGGCGCCGGTTGAATGTGCATCTGGACGATTATTATTATATTTTTGCATTTTTAGTAAAATGGTTCAGGCTCCGAGTTGGTCCGGTACCTTCCAGTAAGACAAGCCATGCATCCGTATTTTCTCAGGATCGCCTATTGCGCTGTCACAGTCTCGTCAACTGCTCACCGTCTTGTCTATGAATTATTCCAGTTTGTAACAATTTACTCGGAATGTATGTAGTCCAAACCCTATTCCGCTTTCTCCTGTGACATTGTTTACAGGTCAAACACTTCAGTGGTGGTTGGCGAATGCGTATCGCGCTGGCTCGTGCCCTGTTTGTTCGACCAGCCCTACTTCTGCTGGATGAGCCAACAAATCACCTCGACTTGAATGCCTGTGTGTGGTTGGAACGTGAACTGGTCAACTACCCACGATGTCTGGTGATCATATCGCATTCACAGGATTTCCTCAACGGTGTTTGCACGAACATTGTGTTGATGCACCGGCACAAACTCTCCTACTTTTCGGTGAGTTGATAGCAAGGTTTCCGTCAGATACCACATCTGAGTTGTTCCTAATTCTTTGTAGAGCTTCATGCACATTTTGCTATGTTCCAGAACCATCAACTGCAGTCATATGACACATTGCCACATGGTAGCCTGGAAACTGCTACCGACCATTAGGACTAGTTGAGAGTCGCTTCATCTCTTGTCAAGGGCTTCCTCACTGGGACCAACCAACCTCTACATCCATATCCACTCATACGAGGCTCGCTTAAGAGTTCCATTATCACAATATATCCATCTTCTCCAGCGTGTAATTACACACTGCTGAAATCACATTGTTGGGTGCTCACCATGTTTACTCAGGAAATGTATTGCTGTGTTAAACAGGATCACGGTAACTCGATGTGTAGCGATTTATTCACAAGTTGGCTGATTCATAGCTTTTTCTGATATGGCTTTTTGGGTATTTTTTTCCAGGGCAACTACGATCAATATGTTCGCACTCGTCTTGAATTGGAAGAGAACCAGATGAAGCGATATAAATGGGAACAGGATCAAATTTCTTCCATGAAGGTGAGTGAATGGTTTGAGTTTCGATTAGGTGCTGATAGTTATTCACGCAATCATCACATTACTGCTGTACTAGGTCTCCATTGTCGAAATTGTGAGCTTGATGAAACTTGTTACTTTGAAAGAACGACTTCAACAATTAGCTGTCGGTAGATATGTGTGGGTATGTGCATGTGTATTTCGTTCATCTGTAGCACCCTTTCGGTGCCCAACTGCCATGCCGCACGAAGAGGCACGAGGGCTGGGATACTGCCAGGTCGCCCAAGCCTAGACAGGGGAAGTCAAGAGGCAGGGGTCGCGTCCGAACCACGGACCTTCCAGTCAGTAAATTCGTGCTATAACCACTTGGTCCATCTCTCCCCTCAGTGTGTGTATTTGGACCCACACTGTTGGCTCAAGCGTCCACAGAGACCGTCACTTACTGGCATCCACACGGTTGCACATTCATGCTGGGTTCGTAGCATAGATCTTGTGCCATGCATCAAGGCCTTCGCCAGAGGCCTACCATGACCTTGTTTCGCCATAAACCGTGTACGTTTGAACGATGGTTTTCGGGGCATACAAACGATGGTAGTTCAGTCGATCGAGGCTGTTATACTGTCTTGTACATGTGTTCGACTATTGCTATCTACACCTAGTAAGTACAGTTTTCTATTTGAGTTCATATCACAACAGCAAGCCGTCTGACTAGGGTGTAAAGCGCAATGTAGCCGAGTACTCAGGGCTTATTTATTCATCATTATCAGTGGTGCAAACTGAATTGACTTTAGTTTACTCTTTGTTAACTTCACTCTTACTGACTACGTAAAGTGCCATAAGCCGTGAGACAGCTTCTGTTCGCAGCCGACCTTACTGTTGCTCTATCTAGTAAGTTCTACCACATGCATTTCAGGACTATATCGCCAGATTCGGTCATGGTAGCAAGAAACTGGCTCGTCAGGCGCAGAGCAAAGAAAAAGTCCTACAGAAGATGCTGTCCGGTGGACTTGCCGAACGTGTACAAACCGACAAAACGTTAACGTTTTACTTTCCTGACCCTGGTATCATCCCTCCACCGGTGATCCAGGTGCAACAAGTCAGTTTCCGGTATGCGCCGGGCAAAGTAAGTTCGGTTTTCACTTTGTTGTTCCGTAAGTTTTTTTCTTCACGGATTTCACGTTTCACAGCACCAACTGAGGGACTTTTACAAATTCCACCGACTTTTGTTTTTCTGCTGGAACCCGTTCTTTGCGTCTTTGAGGTATTTGACGGCATCGGAAGTGGTGGGCACCACTAGTAAATACTGCTACCTAACTGGCATTCATCTTTGAGGAAGAATGTTCTTAACAGAGGTTTAACGAAGAGGGGGGCAGTGGTGAGGAAGGAAAGGAAAACGACCACTATCAAGGTTCCTGCAGCTTCAAACGGTAACAAGATAAACATTCCTAAGCACTGTATTGGTGTGAGAAGTTCTGGTAGGGTCCAACAAAGCGCCGAACCAATTTTACTTATAAGCAGTTCTACTAGGGCTTGACACCAGGGTTGACACTGGTACCGGTTACGAGCTATTTTGTGTAGGGACTCCAATCCAAGAAGATGCGGTCTCACAACACTCAATTTGAGAAGGGCAGTGTGTATTTCACATTACCGCGGGTCTCTGGCCCACAAGAGTTCGAAGTAGAAAACGGTAGACGGTGTCTAAGTATACGTTGTCATACTCCAGATGGGCTTGTATGAACCCCTTTCAACGATATTGGGAATTAAAATGTCTGTTGCTATTCAGTCATTTGATCAATATTGAGCACTACCTATTAGAGCGGTGGAAATCGCACAAGTTATGTCAAAACCTTTGGACAGAACAAAGCAGGCATTTCTATCAAGTTGTTTGGACAATCAATCAGTCGTTCAACTGTAACACCCTTTCGGTGTCTAGCTGCCATGCCACCGGAAGGAAGCATGAGGGCTGGGATACTGCCAGGTTGCCCAAGCCTAGACAGGGGAAGTCGAGAGGCAGGGCTTGGGTTCGAACCACGGACCTTCCAGTCAGTAAATTCGCGCTCTAATCACTGAGCCATCTCGCCCCCCATAGAACTGAAACATGAGACGGCCTTTGTGCAGCGCATTCAGTTGAAGAATATCAGTTGAGTCTCCCGTGGAAACTAAACTGACTTGCAAATGAGTGTATATTGGCACTTGCTTTAAACTTGCTATCTTCCACCCCCGCTTACCAGTCTCTTCACGTCTACCGTCTGCAAACTATCACCTGTAACAATTCCCAGTTGCTATAACTCTTTAATCGGCTCGTTTCTGAACCAGTCCCATTATCCTAATTCACTTCTGAATTGCTTATATACCATTTTGATTGATGTCTTCACCTTATCGTATTTAGAATTGGTGTAGTGTTTTCATGTGATACTGGTGTCAATTTGTGCACTGAAAACTTACCTCATCCATAGAATGACCTGATTGACCTGACTTGACTAAATTATCTTGAGGGCTTCGGTCACGCAGAGACTTTATCGTAGCGTGGCGGTTTGTGTACTGTGGGTCTCACTTTGACAACCGCAGAGTCTTTCATACCAGGTTGGTCAATGGATGACACGTACCTGGTACTCTCTAGGTTGACGGTTGGAACAGGCACGGCAATTTGTTCCTTGGAAATAGTACTACTGTACCAGCGTACTTGCACCAAACCGCGGCTCTACGGTCAGGCTTTTGAGCCAAAGGTTTTGGATGGGATGCTAAGCTTCCTCCTATCTAGATGTGGGTACCCCGACAGTTGCCAATCTCGCGTACAACCATAAAAGTCATAATTAAAAATGCCACATTGGTTGTGGCGTGGTGTCTCAGCCAGGAGGCCTTTCCTGATGAATAGAACGGAACGGGTTAGCGAATACGGGCTACATGTGACGCCACTCTCAGTTACTACCAACTTTAAAGTAGATAGGCGTACGTAATTGTATTAGAGAGGAAGCTGCACTTCGTCACACTTTTGAACGTCATCTCCCTCCTGCTCGCTGCACTTTATCGGTCATGTGATGACGAACCAGACATTCAAGCCGACTGACCTTTGCAGCTCACTCGACAGAGTTCGCACTTACCAGGAAGGCCGTTCGCATGTCGAAAGTGGTTTGGACACACGGTTTGTTGGGCGAAAATACCAACCTGACAGGAAAGGGAATACGAATGATAGGCAAGACCTAGCGCCTCGTGTCAGAAGCAGTTTTTGTTCTCGAAGCGGGCCGCTATTTGATATCGTTATGCAGCTTCCCTGTGAGTGCCTTTCATCTTACTGCTGCATCACGGCTCCATCGCCATTTGAGTTTAATCCAGTCGCACATGCTCTTTGTTCCTTCAGCCTTGGATTTACCGTAACCTTGATTTGGCCATTGACCTGGATCGGCGAGTTGCCTTGGTCGGTCCGAATGGAGCCGGCAAATCCACTTTGTTGAAGCTAATTGCAGCAGAGGTACGTTTGTAATTTCATTGATTTGACACAATGATCCGCCCAAACCCCCCCCCCCCAGTACATGTGCCCTTTAATTTCAACTTTTTGGCTCCTCAACTAGACTAATTCTACTAATCGGCCGGTGTGAAACAGCAGTCGATTCCAAAAGGTTGGGTTACTCTAGGATTTAATGAAGCTTTTGGAGTTTGGATGTGCGTGGCGTGCGTTGGCCAATGTGTCATCTGGGATCTTTAACATCAGCTGCGGCCTCTGTGATCATTCATGGGATAACCAGTCTTACTAGTGTTGGCTGAATGCTAATAAAGTTCAGCCACATGAATACGCTACCAAGAGTTCCATGTGGCCCTTGCTACGGTCAAAAGTACGATGTGACTGCAGGCCTGGACTAGACGTGGCCGCAGTGTCACGTGATAGATTTCTGGACCGACCGTCTGAATCAGGCCCCCTTTCCAGATGGGACAAGAGGGAGCCTAACGGCGCGCTTTTCGTTTAGGTAACTTTACAAGAATGCCCGCCACTCAATGCTTTTTCCGGTCTAACTGATTTGATCGTCGCATCTCAGTCGGTGAGATGCAAAGTGATGTAGATATTTGGCGGACTCTAGCAACTTGGCACTGAGCTCCACGAATATCCAATGTTCTCTTTTATGTATTTCCTTCGTGGAGAGCACGCAAGTTGTGCATTTGGTTACTGGTCCGTTAATCGAACCTGCGATTGCTATTACATAATCGATATACTGTTAATTTTAGTTTTGGCGCTCCACCCTCATTTGGTTTTAGTTGATTGGTTAAACAAGTACTCTAGATTAT